GCCTTGTTGTTAGCCAGGCTTTCTAAGGCCCACTTGACTTCACTCTCCAGGATGTCTGGCTCAAGGACAGCAACCACACTGTCTGGGTTGTCTGGGACATCCAGATCTTTCTGGTATAATTCTTCTGTGTATTCTTGCCACCTCTTCTTTGTGTCTTCTGCTTCTGCTAGGTCCCTACCATTTTCGTCGTTTATCATGTCCATCTTTGCACAAAATGTTCCTTTAATATCTCCAATTTTTCTGAACTGGTTTTTCCCTTTATATTATTTTCCTCTGTATCTTTGCACTGTTCATTTAAGAAGGCCCTCTTGTCTCTCCTTGCTATTCTTTGGAAGTCAGCATTCAATTTTCTTTAACTTTCCCTAACTCCCTTGTATTTTGTTTCCCATCTCCTCTCTGCTATTTGTAAGGCCTCATTGGATAGCCACTTTGCTTTCTTGCATTTCCTTTTCACCTTGGGATGGTTTTTGTTGCTGCCTCCTGTACAACGTTACGAGCCTCCATCCATAGTTCCTCCGACACTCTGTCCACCAAATCTAGTTCCTAAATTCTGTTCTTCACTTCCACTGTGTATTCATAAGGGATTTGCTTTAGATTATACGTGACCAGCCCAGTGGTTTTTCCTACTTTATTCAGTTTAAGTTTTAATTTTGTTAATCAATCTGATTTTGGTATTGCCCATCTGGTGATGTCCATGTGTAGAGTCGCCTCTTGTGTTGCTGGAAAAGAGTGTTTTTGATGACCAGCTTGTTCTCTTGACAAAACTCTATTAGCCTTTGCCCTGCTTCGTTCTGAACTCCAAGGCCAAACTTCCCTGTTGTTCCTTTTATCTCTTCTGCTCTTCCTCAGTAGCATGTTGGATGCCTTCTGACCTGAAGGACTGATCTTCCAGCGTCATATCTTTTAGCCTTTTGTTTCTGTTCATGGGGTTTTCTTGGCAAAGATACTGGAGTGGCTTGCCAATTCCTGCTCCAGGTGGATCGCCTTTAGTCCGAACTCTCCACTATGACCTGCCTGTCTTGGGTGTCCCTGCACGGCACAGCCCATAGCTTCTCTGAATTCCTCAATCCCCTTCACCACAACAAGGCTGCAATCCATGAAGGTGCATGGAGTCAACCCATATTTGGTCTTCCTCTTTTCCTGCTGTCTTTAATCTTTATTATCTTTTCCATTTCTAACATTGGTAACAATAGTAAAATATTTGGAAGTATAATGAATGCTGTAATTATTCAGATTTCTGTTGATTTTGAAAATACTATCATTTTAGGTATTAATCTAATTTGCAAACAACTGTCCACTTTGCTACTTCAAGTTTAAATGCCTGGGAAGACTAATCAGTGATAAAAGGAAATCCCCAGAATTTTCAGCTATTTGACTGGGTAAGCAAATGGTAGGAAAGACCTCTGCCAGAGACATCAGGCAGTAGACAGCAGTCAGACTAAGAAAACCCAGGCTATCTTGATGAATTGTGTGACTCTGTGTAAGGCAGTTTCATAAATCCATATAACAGGCAATGCCTATATATGACAATGTTTTTCTTCAGTCTTAGTATTAACATTTTAATAAATAATGTTTTCCCTCCGTTTCTTACTTCTCTCAGCAATTAATGGAACTTTCTTCACAATTGCTGTCAAAAGTTGCTGAAGGTTGTCTAAATATTCTGTCCTGTAAAGAATAAGACATTAGTCCTAAATGTAGGTCAGCAACACATAGTCACCCACTCAGTGGTTCTCTATGGCTGTGTCTAGTTAGTCTAACTCCTATAAATGAAGAATTATTAATAAAGGACCCAGATAATATAATTATGACAAATACAGGATCCAGGTAAGCAAGACAACTTTATTCCATGACCATCTGCATATGCATATAAATGCAATGTTTTGTATTATACCCCACAGATAATGCATACACTGAGACATCTGCAGCAAAACAATTAAGTACACTGACTACAGTATATGTGTCTGTGAAATATTGTTCATATTGTACTAGGCAAGAATTCTGTCATTACTAAGTACCCATCAAGACCCTTGGCCTAAGATCCATTACAAACAGACTCAGACCTTTTGGAATGATCTCTCTGTTAATGAATCAAGATATTTCACTTGAAGAATTTTGTTCCTTTAATTTTGTTGCTTCTTACATGTGAGCAATGCTAACTAGACACATCCATAGAATTTCATTGCCCTAGCCCCAATGTGTTGAGAGGAGCTTCTTCCCAAAGCATGAGATTCAAGCAGACTATAACTGCATAACCCAGCATTTATTACAAACCCACTCTCCAGCATAACCCCACCTGGTTAGATCCCTGTTGCAAGGCATTTGACTTTAGTTTGACAAGAATAATTACCCAATGACGTAGTTTCCAAGTTCGGAACTTTCCTCTGTTTTTACTGTCACCTGACTTTCTTGGGAGGTCAGAGAACTGCAGCTCTGTAGTGCAGAATCAGGCTCTAGCTTAACTTCAGAAGACAAAAAGAATAATTAAAAAAATATGAATTTTAAAGCCAACAGTAAAAAAAGAGTAATATTTAACCAGGTCAGTGCTTCAGTCATTAGCAAACAAAGGAACCGCCTTTTCCCCTGCCTTTTTTTTCGTTCGTAAGTCAAAGCAAAATTTTGCAAACGGAACTGTTTGTAACTCAAAATGTTCGTAGGCCACGGCGTTTGTAAGTCAAGACACTACTGTACCAAACTTATACTAAGTGGAGTATTTCTGTATATGCACTTGGCCATTAAAATATCAGTTCAGCCAGTCTTCATCTCTTCTATCTTTCTTTACATTTGATGGCTCTTCAACAGAAATTCTAACAGGGATTTGACCCAGAGTCAGTCAGTCAGGAGCCAATAAGGAGGTCACTTCCATATGGGAGCCTTATGCATTCCCAGATAATTCCGCCCCCTGCCCCTGCCACAAGGTCTGACTGTACCATCATCATCATCATCATCATCATCATCATCATCATCATCATCATCATCATCATCATCATCATCATCATCATCATCATTATTAACCTTTTGGAACAGTCACTGTAGAAGGGCTTGGAAGAACTGCTGGAGTTGAAATCTGTGTAACAGCAGACACCTTGCTGGAAGAAAGCGACTGTATCACTGAGAAAAAAGAGAAACACTGGTAATGGAGTGGTAGACTGATGTTTTCCAGTGTTAGCATACGACACTAGCATCGATCAATTATTTTACTAATTCTTAGTGGAAAACTACAGGTCAGTTGTAATATGGTATCTTGGAAGAAAAACCTCTCTCTATATCAGACAATCTGGCTTTTCCCCTCACCCAACCCTCCTTTTGTCTTTGTAATTTTGTGTATTTTTGGCTGATTTTAGCAAGGATACTGTCTGTGGATGGATCTCTGTATTTTGAAATCTGAACGGTGAGATATTTATTTATTTATGAAAACTATTTTTGCCCCATATTTACCATGTAACATGACTCTAAAGTAATCTATATGCATTGTTTTCCTCACAAACTTCAATTTACCTTTGTTCACTGGCATCAATATAGTCTGGACTCCTCCAGAAGCTGCACTCACTCCAAGCTGTTTAAGTTGACTAGGCACTGTCAAAACTGCTTGTTGTGGGCTGTTTTGACTGGAGTGGATCTTTAACAACCCTAAAATCAAAATGATACTTAGAAAGAGCTCTTACTCCTTTCTTCACAAAACAAAGAGCCAATGAAATCAGCACTGTGAGCTTTTACAAAAGTATAGGTGGGTGTGTGGGTTGAAGATCAAATAAGATTCAAGTATCACCCCCAAAAAACTATTAGGTAAGAACAAAAAGGAACCTCACAGATATAGGTCACAAACTGCATTGATTAAAATGTAATATACATGTATTTTCAAGTACAAACAATGAGGGTTCTACTGCGAGTGTGCTCTTTCATGTTTTTGCACTGCAACACCCCTCCCCCCCAAAAAATTCTCCAAGAATTCCTCAAGCATATTTCTGGGAATTTCTGTTGATAAGCATAAATCTGCTGACCCCTAGATTTCACACCCTTAGTGTTATTTACAGCACTGCTGCACTCCCACCATTGACTTCTCCTGTCTTTGTCTTCTGTGGTTATTTTTTAAAAAAAGCTGCTGCTGTGTTTCCTGGGAGTTGCAGATCTTTGGAAGGTCTGCCCCCTGCTGGACTCACCCATGCCATTACATGGCCATCGAGCAGGGTCTGGGCTCTCCTGGGTGCAGGGAATGCTGGGAGCTGTAGTCTCACCATCCACTGGCTCTATAGAGAGCACCTCCCTGATTCTGGAGGAGGAAGTCCTGGGCAAAGTGTTCTCTTTTGGGGATCCCTTCTGACACTGGGTTCAAGTTGGCTTATCTCATGGCTGCAGCACCATTTCAAGCCATAGTGGGTAACTGTGTATAGCCACTCTTTTAATTCCCCACAATATTTGATTGGACCTATTGTCAGATATTAAAAACATAGCTAGATCCAGACAGCTTGTTATCTTCAGATTGCTGGGTGAGAACCAAACTGGACAAAAACAAAAGCAAAACAAAAAAGCAGAGACAACTAATGGGCTCAAGACCTGTCCTGGAAGCTGCCTCGGGATGTCAGATAATAGTGATGCCCCAGCTGCTGTTCCTTGAACGAGGATGTGCCAAAATCTATCAATCTCTTTTGTTAAAAGAATGTAAGATTTTGTATTGCTTAAAATACAGTATATATTTGCAAGAACAAACAATGATGATTCTACTAATGCGAGATGCAAATCTGTCTTAGATTATTGTTTTCAGTTAGTTTATAGAAAGTTTTGACCTCTTGCTGAAAGCCCAAAATCTTTATTCCAAGCATAAATGCCCGGTATTTTATTCTTCCTATCAGATGATAAAATATATAAGTACTGTAAAAACATTGATATAGATCAAGGGAAACATATGCAAAACATCAGCAGTGTAATGCATCAAGGTGATAATGTTCAAATAGTAGAAATGATATATTAGATCTCTGAGGAAGTCTGGGGATAGGGGGAAGGGAGGTAAAGCAAGCACTTGGCATATCTGTCTGGGAAGAGAAGTCAACAAGTGCTGTCACTTGTTAGAAATTAATTTTTATTAACCACATTAATCCAGCAATGTACTAAAAACAGGCACATGGGATTTATAGTTTGACCTAACTTGCCAAATTCAAACTTCTGAGTGAAGCTATTGAGAAACTTACAGCAATCTGGAAATTAACCACAGAAATTCATCAGTACAACAGATGTTAAAAAGAGGAACTTTTTAACCAGAAGTCAACCTCAGACCACAAAACAGTGTCTAAAACGCACTGCAGCTTACAACTGGAAAGTCCCAAACTGTAATTGGCAATGATGTCTGTGATTGACACATGTTCTGACCATGTATAAAAGGTCTGTGGTTTTAGGGGGATGTGGGGGGGCGTGCCATTGTCCAGATTCGACTTGAGGGCACTATGCCATTCCATGATTATCGTATTTTTCCATTTATAATGCACCCCCATTTAGAAGACAACCCCCCTTTTCTAACCCAAAAATTAAGAAAACTTAGCTTTGAGGATTCAGCCTCTGGGCTCAGAACACTTGGACATTAGGAGTCCCTGTTGAATCTGAGCCTACAGGCTCCACCTCCAATGAGATGTGACCCAATTGGTTTGTTCAGTACAGTGGCGCCTCGCTAGATAGTTACCCTGCATTACAGTTTTTTTGCTAGACACCGACTTTTTGCGATTGCTATAGCAATTCGCAAAACAATGATTCCTATGGGGGAATTTCACTGGACAATGTTTGGTCCCTGCTTCGCAAACCGATTTTTGCTAGACCACGATTTTGACAGCTCCCTCGCACTTGCAAAATGGGTGTTTTCAGGATCTAAGCTTCGCAAGACAGGTACTTAAACAGCTGATCGGCGGTTTGTAAAGCGGCTTTCCTATGGCTGATCTTCGCTAGACAACGATGATTCTTCCCCAGTGGAACACATTAAACAGGTTTCAATGCATTCCAATGGGGAAATGCTTTTCGCTAGACAATGATTTCGCTAAACAGCGATTTCAGTGGAATGGATTATCAGCGTCTAGCGAGGCACCACTGTATCAGCTGACGTCAGTTCCATAAGGCTCATGATTGGAGGAAGCCAAACCTCGTGACTGAAGGAAGCCTGTTTACAGAGACAAGGTATGTCCCGTTTTGTTCTCTCCTCAGTTTACTTCCATGTATACGATGCACCTCAATTTTCAGTGTAATGATTTTAGGAAAAAGTAGCAACTTATACACGGAAAAATACGGTAATAAATTTCTGCCTGCTTCGAGAACAGCTAAAGCTCTAAGGTTAATTATTGTTGGTGATGGTTTAAAAAGTTCTTCAAAAGTAGCTTGAAAGATAATCAGTAAACATTGCTCACCATGGCTCCTTTATAAACTTTTTCTACATAAAAGTAACTTGTTACAGGTGGCTATGTTACTTTTAACCTCTAAGCTGTCACTAGAAGTTCCCCAGTCCCACTTTAAAGCCCCGAACCGTCTACATCCAGATTAATCCTAACTGGTTTCTTTAAGGAATGGGCCAATCAGGCAATTTGCCTGATTCCACACTAGTGAGGAAGTCCTGCTGTTTTAACACTCAGAATTTCAGCATTACAAATAAATGTGAAGATGATGATAGCAAGACCCAAGGAAGGACTTATTACCTGATACTGCTGTTTTCCCAGAAACTGGAGCTGGGGCGGTCACCCAGGAAGCAATGCTTACAACTGCAGATGTGCCTGTTTTATTAGGCACAGCAGATGCTGCCTGTCCAGAGTGAGCAGGAACCGGGTGCTGCTGCCCAGATGCCTTCACTGCAGGGCCTGCAGCCGGAGATGAACTAGAGCCTGCATTGTCTCCCTGCCGGGTTAAAAAGTAGATGCAAAGAAGTTAGCATTCTTTTCACTATCTTCAAAAAGAACATAAAATAAAAACAGAGGGCCTGCATTGATTATATACATATAATAAAATAAAATAAAGGCAGCCTTTAAATAAAACAAACAAACAAAATATATATGCTATTTTGTTAAGCTCAAATTCATTTGTTAAAATGGCAGTAGAAAATCTCTAAGTAAAAAGGCAAGTCCATTTCACTGTGGTGCACAGCCTAATAAAGACTGACAATGGGTCAAAAGCTAACTTCAGTTTGTAATTTTTAAAAGATATTGGAGATTTGGTGAATCAACTTCTCTATAAATTCCATTGACTCAAATACATCTATTCTGGTTGCAACTTACTGAACTTAAATAAATCACAACTAGAGCAGGCCCATTTGAATCATTTCACTTTCAGAGGAGTTACTCACAAAGTCCCCACTGGTTCAGTGGGTCTACTCTAGTGTGACTTGCTATGCCAAGTAACCAAGAGTTTCACTAAGAGTGATTAGTTTGGTGCTAATTATTTACATTCTTGATTTACTGAGTAGTTCTACTTGATATATATGTTGACAAACCCTGAGCCTCACCTGAGCAACTCCATTGGATGGAAGAGTCACAGCTGATGTTGTTGCTGCAGTGATCACCCCACCAGATACTCTTAGCACAGTGGTGCCAGGTTTTGAGAGCTGAGATGATGCTGGTAAAGACTTCAGAGTATTGTCCGATATTTTCATTAATGAAGCTTGTCCACTGGAAGCTGCCTTTGAATTCAAACATATTTTAAGTGGAAGTTACACTTTCATAAATCAGATCTACCTAACCAGATAGTTAAAGAAAATAATTACAAATTAGTAGACATTCCTCATTTCCATAGTCACTTTTACAATTCTTGACTACACAGAATTCCAAGAAATGGTTTTTACTGTGCAAACCAAAGCACGAAAAAGTTACTTTTTGGGACTTCAACTTCAAGAATCCCAAATCCGGCATAGCCATTTACTCAATGTGACTTTTCTAGAGACCATGTTGGCTGTAAGAAGAGACATCCTGAGAGATAATAGTTTTAAAAAGTAGTATTTTTCCAAGCTCTGGCACAATGGTACATGTGTTTTAAAAGAATTGTTGATGTTTAGTCGTTAAGTCGTGTCCGACTCTTCGTGACCCCATGGACTAGAGCACGCCAGGCCCTCCTGTCTTCCACTGCCTTCCGGAGTTGGGTCCAATTCAGGTTGGTAGCTTTGATGACACTGTCCAACCATCTCATCCTCTGTCATCCCCTTCTCCTCTTGCCATCACACTTTCCTAACATCAAGGTCTTTTCCAAGGAGTCTGCCAAAGTACTGGAACCTCAGCTTCAGGATCTGTCCTTCCAGTGAGCACTCAGGGTTGATTTCCTTTAGAATTGATAGGTTTGTTCTCCTTGCAGTCCAGGGGACTCTCAAGAGCCTCCTCCAGCACCACAATTCAAAGGCATCAATTCTTCGGCGGACTGCTTTCTTTATGGTCCAGCTCTCACTTCCATACGTCACGACAGGAAAAATCATAGCTTTGACTATTCGGACTTTTGTTGGCAAGGTGATGTCTCTGCTCTTTAAGATGCTGTCAAGGTTTGCCATCGCTTTCCTCCCAAGAAGCAGGCGTCTTTTAATTTTGTGGCTGCTGTCTCCATCTGCAGTGATTATGGAGCCCAAGAA